CGCTACTATGGTGGAGGCCATCGCTAGTAGGTTTAAGGCCATCGCTACTATGGTGGAGGCCATCGCTAGTAGGTTGGAGGCAGTTGGAGGCCATCGCTACTAGGGTGGAGCAGTTGTTAAGGGAAGAAGCAACCAAGCAACCCAATTCCCTCGGCTGGTGCTTGAGACTGATTCTGCTGATTCCTCAAGAACTCAACAATGTTTACATTCTAATTAGTGTAACTAGTTGCCTTTAAACAGCAGCGCACGGAATACAGGACTGCCCCAGATAACATGGATCAACACACTTCTCGTACCTTCTTACGCCCCTCCTTGGGGCAAGAATCGCCAGCACTAGGACCCAGAAGAGACCAAGCATTGGCAAAGACGCATCTCGTTACCTCGCTCACCAAAGGTTCATTGCCGCGAACATTTCGAAGAAGCAGTACCTCCAAGAGCAGGTCTGTGACCTCCTCAGTGTCCCAAAGGGTTTTTTTTGAACGTTGGGGGTCAAGTGATGGCCTGAATGGTCCCCTGGCTGATTTCTTGTGGCCGAAGAAGGCCCTATAAACACATGCTTTTGATGCTTTGACATCTTGATTTGTAGCCTGATGTTTCTTGCGCCAGATCTCACAAATCACTTGCTCTTGGTTACGCGTCCTATTGGCTCGCACAGCGCAGAAACACCTTCTGCCCGTGCCGCTGCGATGAAGGTCTTTTTTTCGTCCCTGGCGCGGCGCGAGGCGCTGGAGTTGTCACCAGAGGCGACCGCCACAGAGGCGAAGCAACAGTTGGCGGAGGTGCTGCAGTGTGAGGCCACTGCACTGAGCTTGGTGCTAGGCACCAGTACTTGGGATGATGGCAAGGCTAAGGAGAGGGGCTTGAGGGTGCTTGAAGCAACAGCGCCGCTGCCATGCAATGCGTCGTTTAGTTTGCAAGCCTTGACGGATTGCTCCAAACACCCTGAAAAGATGTTGCTTCATGCTTTGCACCATACAACCCCCAGAAGTTTTCTGGGGAAGATATCGACATTGCCAGGACGTGCTGTCCGAGGGGGCTGAGATCACAGTGATCAAATCCGAAGGTTGGGTGGTGCCGCGGATCGAGGCGCTGAAGGCCAAGTTTGAGAAGTTTGGACGCTGATTCTGAAAGAGGGCGGAGGAAGATGGTGGAAGTGGGTTCTCAGGTTTGGCCATTTGGTCATCATTCTTCCACGGGGGGCTTAGGCTTATAATTTACCCAAGCTGAACTGCTTGAGATCACGGCCGAAAGATGGATGGAGACAAGGTGGCGGACTGTATCAGTTTTGTTCCCGGAACCGTGGGGACAAACTCGTAGCATAGCTGGATATAATATAGCTGCACATAAGGGTCCTGTTCTTGACAGATTGATCCAAATTCAGATGTGATACTCACACTTGTCGTTTGGTGGTAGATAGAGGCTGCTTTCGTTTGAGCAACGGTCATTTGGATTGAAGCAGACTCGGAACTCGCTCCGAGGAAAGCTTCTGACCGAGCCTGGTAAACATGAACTCTCACACGATGCAGAGCTTCCTGAAGGTCTTGAGTTTCCCGCATCACTGGCATTACTGCTGAAGTATGCTGTGAAGTGGAGCTATCGAAGCTGGGCTTGAGGTGCACACCTCCTTGGAGGAGGTCTGCGGTTTTGCTAGAAATTGTTTGGTCACATGATAATGATTATTCTTGCCAAGGATGCCAAGATATTCCCAAGGAACCTTCCCTAATAGTCCAGAGATTTGATCTCACCCTCACTCCCACAATCCACAACCCAACGTTTGACCGTACGGTGGTCCACTCAGGGACGGATATGGGCATCCCACCGCTGGAGCTCTTCGTTGCAAATCAGGATTTTAAGCTGGACATTTTTGGTGACGAGGAGATTGGATTGCATTTTGGCATTTCGTGGAGTGGTACAGACTGTGCCCTCCATTGTGGCTTTGGGGGGCCCGGTAGAATCCTTTCTGCTGCAAGCAAGATAGTGCATATCTATCAGTCCTTTTTCCCCCACGAAGTACGATACGTGGCTTTTGATCTTTTTCTTGGTGTAGTGGCGTAGTGTTGGCTGAAGGAGTGCAAAGCAGATTGGATGGAGGAACATGGCGAGGAGAGCTGCGCTGGCGACGATTGGATGCTCTTGGCCAGTTCCTCTGAGTACGACTACTTCTTTGTCGCTGGGCGATGATTTGAGTTGGAACAGGGCGCGACGGATTTGTTGTTGTGGGACTTGGAGCAAATTGGCGAAGTCCGTGCTCCGAAGCCAGAGAAGGGATGTGCGCAAATTGACTGTATAGTCAATACATGAGACAGTATGCCGTATGCAACAATTTTCAATGGGCGCTACGGTGCCCCATACCCAGGAGGTCCCTGTATGTGTCCAGCCATCCGACTGAGTTGACCGTCCGACTCAGCCGGATCCGATTTTTCTATCATTCTTTGAGATGATGGTGCAGCTAAACAGCTAAACAAATGCAATATATATATATATATTTTCTTTTTTCGGAATCGGAGCGAGTGGGTCGGTTTGGGTGGCACGTGCGGTTTAGGTGTCGGTGTGACACGGCCACCACCGCAGGTGCTGGCCCAAACATCTAAATAGTTTGACAGAGTTTCCCATGGTATGTCTCATCGACCGTCCTCAGAGCTGCTGGGGATCTGCAGATCGATAGTGGTGTCCTTTTGGCCGATGCTTTCACATCCCTGGCCCGTCTCCAAGAGTTTTCTGCTGCCAAAGGTTGCTCGGCGGAGGACACATCTGATTTAGTATAGCTGTGGCCTGGACACGCGCCCATAGTGCTGCTGATGTTGGGGCGCAATGTGAGAAGCTCCAAAGTCTGTAGTGTTCCCCTTGCTGGAGCAGCACCTAGCCCCACAAACCACCACTGCAGATGCGCCAGGAAACCTTGGCGACCGCGACGAGAAATATGTTGCGTCAGCTTCATATACTGGCGGCGTTTGAGCGCCGCTAGCTGTGAAGCGACCAAAAACTGCCACCACTGCAAAGCCAAGTTTGCCCCGCAACCTTGCCGCAGGTGAAGCATATCGGAGCAAGCATAGACACCGCTGCTGAGGTCCTTTGGCCACACTGCGCTCGAGAAAGACACCATTTCCCAAGCTCTGTGAGCCAACTCACAGCGAAAGGCGTCATACCGCATTGGCTTTGCACTCAGTGGGCTCCAATGCCCGAGCACTCTTCGAGCTTTGATGGGCATTTGACTGGCCAGTGTAGGGAAGCTGGCAGCAAGCATGACTGCACATAGGAGGTTCCATAAGCTGCTGCAGCATCGCTGAGGTTCAGAGCATCAGCCCGAGCAAAGGAACTGAAGAAGGGCAGCGAAACCTGGCCTGTGCTTCTTCGAGCGCCAACAAAAAACATACATACTAGCGTTGCCCAGCTGAATGCTTCCAGACCTCTGAGCATTGCATTTGAAAATGCAAGCAAGCGCACGCGAGTAGACAAGCCAACGGCCACGCCAGGGGAACTTAGTTTGAACATCCGACTGCTTCCAAACGCTGCAATTGCCCCACTGTCAGGCGTGGCAGACTTTTGCACAGACTGCTTTGCAAACTGAGCAAGTGCCAAGCGTCCGCCCAGAACTGGCACGCGCAGAAGCCCTCCAAGTGTTGACTGCGCCACTTGCCACCAACAGTACCAAACGGAGGCTCCTTGCCCTCACGAGTGCCACGCGCCAGCATCTCCCTGGCGCATCTGCAGTGGTGTACTTTGGGCTAGGCCCCTAGGCCCGCTAGGCTCCTTGCCCCCACGAGTGCCATGCCCGCTCTGGTCAAGCGGCGGTTTGGCTCACATTTCGTGACTGTGCCGCCCACTTGCTGTACGACCGTGCCTACTGAGCTTTTACAATGACGGGCAAGCCGTCAAAACACCCACCATTGAAGCAGTACTGCAGTAGGCAGGATGATTGGTGGCTGGTCGAACGACCTGACGATACACCTAGCTTCGACCCTGCAGGGAGAGCCGATGATGAACACAGCCCACGCCAGGCTCGCATTCGTCCACAAAATGCCGTAAAGGGCAAGCTGGGCCTTGTTTGGGGCTGAAGCATGATACTTGGGTTTGTTTTGGGTTCAACTTGGCAACTTGGGCTCAGGTTGACGTTCACATACGGGGGAACATGTCCCTGAAAGTTCCATTGACGCCAAGCTTGCAGCGCGTTGGGTTCAGTCAAGCACAAGGTGGATTTGTGGGCGTGCCTCACTCAGGTCAATGTCAAGAAGTCCTCTCCCCACTTTGGCATGGTGAAGTGTGGCGAGCAGACCAGTAATGTTTTTGTTGTGTTTTGTGAAACAAAAATCTTCTGAACGTGAGACCGGTACAACCTGCAAGATGTCAGCAACTAGTGTGCAGCAGACGCCGGAGGTCAGCGTTGGACGTTGTTCGGTTTGGGTTTGCAACAGATGGGCAGACAACCGAGGAAACATATTGTCAACAACTGCGACGAAGAAGAGGTCAGCCATTGTCGCTAATTAAGTGTATTAAAGATTTATGCAGCGGGCTGTGGTGTAGTGAATGCAAAAATGTTTGGATCACCCCCCCGGTGCTTGCGCCTATTCCGAAATGCCAAAATGTTTGGATCAACCCCCCCGGTGCTTGCACCTATTCTGACAGTGTGAAAACGGCTACGCCATGTTGAGCCAGACATATCCTGGAGGTCTTTTCAGAGCCTCCCTTCGATAATTTTTTGGACTCAATGGAGAAGTTTGCAGAAGACGTCGCGGAGAAGGTGCGTTTCCATCATGTGTTTGTGTGGAGTGAATCAAATCCTCTATTCCTCTCAGAGATTCCGGCCACATTGATTTGCCGTGTATCTGAGTTATCATAATAACTTAAGAACTGAAACACATGAATGGAGATTGCGGGGGGGAAGTAGCGGGGGATTCCGGGTCAGGACGAGGATGACGTCGAGGGCTTGCATGGTTGGAAACCACAGGAGCCACAGCCGAAGAAACAGAAGACTTGAGACGTGCAGAGTGCAGAGCAGAACTGCAGAACGTAGCTGTTTTCGTGTGGTCTGGCGCAGTTTTTGGTGCCGATTGTTTGAAGAAGCGGTGACAGCTCAAAAGTGCGAGGAACCAAAAGGAGTTCTGAAACCAGACCAGGTGTTTTGCCAGGTATTTGCACGATATTACTTCTGGTATGTTTTGGTCGCCATCAATCAACGATGGGACGTCCATATCTCCACACAAGATGCCTTACACACAGGTTTTTGCTGTGAAGGTTGTGCAAGGCGACAGGGAACCAACACTAGTCTCGTGGGTTTTCCCGTGGGACAGTCGAACTAATCAGCACCAACAAAGCCGGATTGCACAGCCTTGGCATTGATGCCAATTCCTCCAAGGCAAAGCAGCCTTCCACATCTTTGATGTGAATGGCCTGGAGCCTGGAAAATAAGTTTGTGATGTGCACCGGCATTTCCACGGTTTTTTGGGATTGCAACGAGGCTCTTCGGGCTGTTGATGACGGAACAATTTGCACATACCACTGTTGAGAATCAGGCATGTCCCCCCAGTCTAGACTATATTGCCCTAACCGAACACCCGCCCAGCAGGCCCTTTGCCATTGAAAATTGGAGGAACATTTGCTGTAATTAAGATCAACTCCCATTGGGCGTCCTTGAACATCATGCGGCAGCATGGTTGAGGTGATGGCTTCATTTGCAAGGACGACTTGGTCACACTCGCCACGTTTGTGGCAAACAGGGGTCTACATGGGCACAGTATTTCAATAATTTTCCTTGCTTCAGGCTTCAGGCAGCCCTTGATGTCCTAGCCATAGCAGTGGATTAGTCAATTTTAGGTATCCTAATTGCAGGCACAAATTGTCCGTTTGATATGCCAGGCAAATCTTTTGAAAAGTGGTCACCAAGAGGAAGGTTTCGCTGGCTCGGGTGGCCCAGCATTTGACACGAATCCAGGAAAGCGTGATTACGCCCTGGATGCCCATTGTGAATGTGTTGTTTCCATATGTCCGCAGATTGAATTGCTTTTTCAACAGTCTTTTAGATTGCTCTGGCTGAAGTTTCCCAAGGCATCAGTGTTGAAGAGATCAGCGAGATCATGAAGGAGGCGCCATACCTTTGCATCCCATCCGCTGCCTTCTGCAGGGTAGGCTTGTGGCTTCATAGTGATCGGCTGGCAGGTGACAAGTCACTGTTTGGCGCGGGAATAACACGGACTTGGCCAGGTTGACCAGAATGGTGATGGTCGCATGTCCTTTGAGGAGTACGGATAACTCAGCAGAAGGGATTGAGTGTCCGGTGAAACCTATGGTGCAGACAAAACCAGTCGCCAACGTGCCACAAGACTCTCATAATCAAGGTTTGCTGGGATCACCGTTTTTAGCGAGGCCTATTTTTTCGACAAGATTCAGGGAGTTCGTGCCACTTGCCTACCTAAATATCCACGGTCCACCACCCATCCCTACAGAACCGCTACCTCACCTTTGGGGACGAGCAAAACATTTTGCGCCAAGCAATGTCTTTGTGGATTGTAAGTTGCACCATGTTGTAATCCTGCTCTGAAACTAGCCCATAACCACGGTGGAGGCCATCGCTCTTAGGCTGCAAGCCATCTCTTAGGCTGGAGGCCGTCGCTACTAGGGTGGAGACCATTACTAGGGTGGAGGCCATCGCTCATATTTATATATATATAATATCAATATATATATATAGGTTGGAAAGTCTTGTGAAACTAAAAGGTGGCTGGGCTAGTAGCATCCTTGCTCCTGCTAGTAAGGCCAGGAGCCCCTAGTACCTTCTTGCTCCTAGTAGTAAGGCCAGGAGACCCTAGTAGCGTCCTTGCTCCTAGTAGGGGGATGATTGCCTGGTGGTCAGTTCCCTAAGAACCCCGACCGGCTGCTCTGCCATGGCAGAGCACGTGGAGCGAAGTTTTTGTTTCACCGACCCGAATCCTCAGGTTCATGGCTCTCATGGCGGATCGGAAAGATGCTCCAAAGGCCGTGCAGTTCATAAGACGCGAGACTTGACGCCAATTCGAGGCTCCACATTGTTAAACATTTAGACAGTTAGACAGATGTCCACGCGAAAATGTCCAAGAGAAAACAACGAAAGGTATTTAAACAAATATAGATCACAAACATCATTGGTTTCTTGTGTCTCCTTTGTTGTCTTTGTTTTTGTACTCTTGGATCCTACAATACATCAGATAATCTTGTGATAGAAGCAGCCGTTCAGGAGTCTGAAGCGGAGGCGACTCAGCCGGAAAAGTGAGGAGGTGCGCGGTGCGGCGCGGTGCGCGGAGCAAAGACAAAGGATTTCCAAACCAGCGAGGATCGAACAACATGAGTGAATTTATTCTAATGTATTGCTCAATTCACCTGAAACTCCAATAAACGTGATGGTGTTCGGGTGTGTTTGTTCACCACTTCATCATGACGGCTGAAGAAACATGCCAGCGCAGGAATGTATGACCGTAGCCTGTGGGACTTTCCAAGCCTCGAAGATACCCTTGAGAGTTGCGATATGTTGTCATTCGTGTTCAAGATTCAAGACAGCATGCTTCAAGCTGGGTTATACTCGGTTATAAGTTATAAGATCATGGGAACAAAATGCCTCCAGCAAAGCAGACATGAGTCTGGCAGACGTGGAGATAGGAGAGGAGTGCGATTTGACATCCCAAATAGAGCTAGTTGGTTGTTACGCTCCTCCTTTATCGTAGCCTGTAAGGGCCCCATTGCATTCCACTCGATTTGGACAGCCGCAGGCGTCTTAACGAGGCGCCCCGACCCCAGCTGCTGGCGTTGGGCCGTCCCTCTTTGGGGCCCCCAGGTTAGGTCCGGCCTGAGTCTACTCTTCTTCAAGAGCAGATTGTCTGAGCCCTGGCTGAAGCCTGGACATGAGATGTCATGATGTCAATGTGAGACCCTTTCAGACCTCTTCAGCTCATCATCACCAGACTTCAGCCCAGTTTATGTGAATAATTTGGCTGAGCTGAGATCGCTCTCCAAGAGAGTTGTTGTCTCAGCGCTGCACAGCACGGGCGGCCGCAGCCAGCTGTGCCCCTGTGGGGCGCCGCGCGCCAGCACGCGCCGTGGGCGCGGTGCCGCTGGCTTGGTGCCGACAGGGGGAGATGAACTGTGGAACCGTCGGAGAAGACACCGGCAACGGAAGATCATATGTTTTGGACGAAGCAGCCAAACACAATGAGAAGAATGTGCGTTCTTGTCATTGGCCCATTGGCCTTTTGGTCAGTTCCCGGACAGAAGGAGCTTCGGAGCCTTTCTTGGCCACCAGCTGCTGAAAATGGCTCCTTTTTCCAGCTTGACCGAGCTCAGTCAAGCTCCATACTCCAGACAGTCGATGGCTCCAGCCAATCTGGCCTTGCTTTCCAACATGGGCCCAACCCAGCACCCCAAAGTTGATTGCATTGGTCGGCTGATATGTTGAGGATATTTGAAGCAACAAACATACCATTTTGTTTATATTACAAGCCAGTGAGCATGTCATTCGCCCCTGGGATACAGTAAATGTGCTTTTGCCGTTGTTTGAAGCGCATCTAGGTTGAACCCTTCATGGACTGGGTGTGCTCACAGCGGATGGACAGCCTTAGATTGGCTGCTCTGGGTAGCCGTTGATCCACAAGGATCCACTCTGATATCGAAAAACCACAAGATGAGTTGATGGAGATTCAGGTGTGATCAAACTTGGTGGATCCATGGGGGTTGGCAGATGCAGAAGTGCACTGCCGCTTTGTTCTTTATGAGAGGCTCTGACTTGAGTCACACTCGGGCAGTCGCCAAAATCTCCCAACAGATGATGCAACCGACAACATGGAATGCAGAGTGAGCAGAGGTGACAAGAGGTGAGCAGGTGGCAAGATTCCAAAGCTCGGAATGAGTGGATCCTCTATGTCATCCAGAACTCTCCTATTATTTGAAGATATTTGAAGCATCTTCTGTCGGTTTTGAGAATATCACTCTGTTGAACCATCCATGTGGGTGGAACACTATCGCTCCATTCAGCACCTCAGACATTGGCTTTAAGAAGCATTTAAGACTTCCTCTGGATGCATAGATCTGTAGAGATCTGGAGACCTCAAACGCTCTGCAGTGAACTAGGCTTGTTCTAACAAGGAACCATGCGATCCTGGATAGGAAGCAACGTGTTAGGAGGGAAGAACCATCGAATAGGATTGACTATGATGCAAGCTGGGTAAGCGGGGGGGTCTTTCCGGGTCCTTGAGACACATGACAATATACCATCATTTAATAGCAATCGCCTCCAACTTACTAGCGATGGCCTCCAACCTACTAGCAATGGCCTGCAACCTTTTAGCGATGGCCTCCAACCTACTAGCGACGGCCTCCATCATAAACTGTAAAAAAAACCGATCAGAACCTGAAGGCCAGGACAAGAGAGCTTCAAGCTGTCGCCGTGGATGTCGGCTGATCCGGTTGCGCTGCTGCAGAGGCGTTCCACCAGGCAGATTTGACCACAGCCTGCGGTGCGGATCGAAGTGCCTACGGGCCTACGGGCGTAGATGACGACATGAGTTTTGCAGACCTGCGAGTGAAGGCAACAACTTGCTTTCAGTGAGATGAGTGATTTCATGATGCTCCACTGTACTGCACTTGGCTGATCAAGGCTCTTCATTTTGGACCCCTCACATCCTATGGTCGCACGGCACTGCGCGACATCGCCCTGCGGCCATCATGGCAGGTGGACCTGAGATGAGCGAGCATTCCCTTAGCTCCTTCCTGAAGGTCAGCACGGGTTGTTCTTGTGGGCCCTGCGAAGAAAGAATGCTGGTGTTCAAAACGCAGGCTGCCCGCCCAGAATGGACCAGCAATCAGCTCAGCGCTGTAGAAGAAAAGCTGGAGAAGGCGGGTTCTGTTTGTGGAGAAGGCGCATTCTGGCCAGATGCAGACCTCTCAAGAGAAAGCGGATCTAGTTTGCAGATGAGGAGAGAGTAGAACATGAACAGAAGGAGAAACTTGTGGTAGCTTCACGTAACCTAAGCTCCTGGATTTGAATCACCATGTTGTCCACAGGTGCGGTAATCATCGCACTGAGCTGTGAGCTGATGAATCCCCAAACAGGATTTGCTAAGTCCAACCCCAGCAGGTTGGCGTGCGGGATGTCCTGGAGCTGGTGCAATCCTTGAAAGGCGATCATCATTGAAAGTCTATGTTTTTCTGCACCAGGACCTGGTTCGTTCACCTGGACACTAGAATCATTATATAGAACGCAAGTAGTAAGGGGGCTGCTGCCCTTGATGTCCGTCATCTACCTCAACTCTGTGTGGGGGCGGGCGCCAGGCAGACCAGACCAGAGGCTCAACAACCGTTTGAAGGCAAGAGGGGACGACAGTTGAGGCACCCACCATCGCCCGCAACAGATCCCGGCCTCGAAATCAAGATGAGTGGTCACCACAAAGTGGCTCATCGGTTCATGCTTGTACAGACACTTCACTTCTGGCACAAGTGTTGCTGGTTGGCATGGCTTCAGGGTAGGAACAGGCCCTTTGCCAGAACCAGCAGATCCTAGCAGATCCTGAATCCAGCTTTGATATGTTATTCATTGAAACATATTGAAACCATTGGAAACCAGTTCACTTGGGGCTCCTTCGTGCAACCACGAATTTCGTGGATTAACACGGAAGTTACGTAGAGAAAATGAGCCCAGTCAATGAGTCCAGTCAATACACTCAATTGCAGTTGATTCAACAGTGCATCAGAATGGAATCAAGACGGAACCCATTTTCTTGAACTCACTTGATACTTGGACTATACTTGTACTATACTTGTACTGATTTGTGACTCAGAACCAACCAACACTTCCCTGCTCCTTCCCATCCCTTCCCCAACTCCCTTCCTCAGGCCGTTGGAGAGAAATGCTTCACCTCCGAGACCTTGAGTGCCCTGCGGCGGCGGGTCGGGTGGCCCAACAGCCAGCTGCGCAGGACCACCAGCCGCTGTTGGATGCCAGGGATGCTTCTTAATGTTAGATCAGCCAGTGAAACCTTGCTAAACTCTTGACCTTCCAGCTTGTTTTAGTCCTTGACTGATTGGGTAGGTTCGGGAAGAGCCCGCGCTGCGACGTGCAGCCGAGCAGCGGGTTGCCAATGCCAGGTGCGAGAGTCGGTGGAGGGACGCAGCTGACTTGCTTTGGGTCATTTTGGGTCCAAACCTGTAGTTTCGTTTGGTTCAGTTCAGTGGGTGCTGCAAGAGGGGTCTTGTTCCATCATGTTCCATCTATTTCTCGATCATCTCCTTTTACTTAGACTTATTTCTAGTTTTTCGTTGTTTCTTGAAGAGTCCTCCAAGTCTTCGTGCTCCAGGCTCGCTGCTGCCTGTGAAGAGCAGAGCGGCTCCTCCGGCACCGAGCTGCTGGCGCAACCTGGTTGGGACCCCGCTGCCGGCGCCAGGCGCGGGTGGAAACGAAGTCGATTTGGGAGATTGATACAGATTGAAAGACGATGAAAGATGACTGTTGAGGATTTAGATACAGATTGAGATAATTGTTTGCCTCCTCAGTCCCAGAAACTAGCCATTGGCTATTAGCCATGTGCTGCCATGTGCTGCGCTGCAGAACAGTATACCTTGTTGGCGCGTAGAACCTTTTCGACCCTTGTGGGTGTCGAGTTTTTTTCTAGGGTAAACGCTAGATTTGACTCTGGCTAGTAGGGTGGAGGCCATCGCTTTTTGGTTGGAGGCCATCACTAGTAGTGAAGTTGACGTTGTTGTTTTCTTGCTCCCTTCGGCAGGTCCCAGATGGCCCAAAAGCAAGGAGACTTTCATTCGGCTACAAGTAGTGAAACGGCATCGCAGTTTCAGAAGCAGCTCCATTGGGCTTTAAGGAAAGCATATGGTTCATTGAACAGCTGGAAGTTCGGAAGGCTTCATGACTTCGTGTAGCAATCAGCAGGTGGACACGTGCCGATCGAAAGTTAGAGGAGCGCCCCAGCCGCCCAAGCCGATGCCCACGTCCAAAGACGACATGATCTCGGCATTGGAGTCGTTGGGCCTGGAGGTATTCGAAGCATGATGTTTTTCATTGAATGGTGTGAAGCCAGTGAAGGATGCACCAGTGCTGCCAGCTCCTACAACTCTATCTATACTACTGAGCAAGTCCAGCCTCTTTATCTGCTTCATCGGTCATTCTTCGTTCTGGCCGCCCAGCTGACTTCACAGTGGTTCGTAGGTGAAGAAGTGCCACGTGCGGCAGATGCGTGCCGTCCTCTTGGAGGCGGAACGACTACGTGCGCTGCCGCCCAAGGAGCTCTTGGAGGAGGCGATACTCCAGCTTTGTCGGCACCAGGGTGTGGTGGGGGGAGGAGATCAGTGGAAAATGCAAGATTCATAATAGGAGTACCCGACAGAATTACTGTAAGTCAGCAGTAGTCTTCGGCTGGACATCGTTTTTGAAAACGTGATTTGACTGCAAAGCCGATAGGGGACCACCCAAAACCGATACCCTCTAACATGGGTGATGGCCCACCCAAAACCGATACCCCAAAGAGTTGTAGATGTATAAGAAAACCTGAGACCAATAGGGTACCACCAAATTATAAAGATGTAAAGAGACCTGAAAATACATGTAAAGAGACGCCGAAACCTGAAAACCGATAGGGGCCCACCCAAATTACAAACGTCCTTTGCGGGTAATAAAGTAATATTGTCCGACACTCAGGACATCCCTAGAGGCCACCCAGAGTGCAGGACCAAGGCACAGAATGCAGACCTTTGTGGTTGAGCGACATCAAGCAACATAAGTCACAAGTCGTTTGGTTTGGCCAATGCCAAGCGACCTTGCAAGGTTGCCCTCGATGGCTCCGACCCTGACAGTCTCATCAGGACTGGGCCAAGCCGACGGCGACCCCCATCCATAGACGCCCTCAAGTCCTCCCAAGCATCAGGCTTAGGTATGTATTGAGCTTTTGTGTCAAAGTCAACGCTAAAGACATCTCTCGAGTCAGTCTTTCCGGAGGCTCTCCTGGGTCCTATGAAGTCACTTTTGCCTTCCCTTCATTCGCATGCGCCGCATGCGCTCAACCATTCCAGGAGGCACTTAGAAACAACTTTTCCTGACTGCTTGGAGAGCCACGAGGCCAGGGCTCCGGTGTTCGTGGTGTCTATCTTGGGTCGACAAAGGAGAGTTTCCTCCTTTCTTGAAACATCCAGGTGCGAACAAAGAGAGGCTTTTGTTTGCCGTAAACAGGATCGGACCTGTAGTTGAAGTTGAGGCCTCCAACGTGTGGACCAGGGAGCATTCTCCCAGAAGTTCTGCAGATGAGGTTGGGCAGAGCATGACGTTGTGAATTCAAATCAAATGCAGGTGTTTCCAGAGGCGTGGTAGACAATTCGGACTGCCACCAGGTGTGCGTTAAGCTTACGTACTCACAAAAGCTGTTCAACACTTGAACAAGCCACGTGAATAGGTAACATTTGGGATGTTCTCAACATATTTCTCTTCAGCCTGGGAAAAGTCATGGCCATGCAAACAAACTGGTGGAGCATAGAAGGATCCTTTTTCTGTTCTTGATCTTCTTTGGCCGCTCATGGCGCAGGACCAGGATCTCTCCTTCCAGATCCTCACGCCCAGCCCAGAGCCACTGTCCCTGTCCACGCTGATCAGCCACTCTGAGGCGGAAAGATCCGAACGCCAAATTGACGATCCACCCTAGTAGCATCCTTGCTCCTAGTAGTACGGCCAGGAGCCCCTAGA